AAGTAGGTTTAATTCAATCTAATAAGTTTAAATGAAATGCAAGAAAAATGCGTATAATTTTATATTCCTTACAAGGAAGTCATGTGGTGTACACATCAGATTTTTTTATTACGCACGAGCGGGAAAAAAAAAGCAGTTGCATCGTTCATTCCTTCAAATAATTTGAACACACTGCATAATTCACATTATTATCGTTTATAAAAAATAAGCTAAATTTCAAAATATATAAATTTACATCTATCTTAGAATTAAAAATTTAATTTTTTGCAGGTATGCCTAGAAATACAATTACTGTAAGGGGATGGTAAAAACTTCAGAGGTATGATTCAAACATTTTTCCGAAAACTTTTTAAAAATTACCAAAAATACAAATTTAAAAACAAATTAGAAAATAGCAACGAATTTTATTTGGATTGAACCTAAATTTCGAATTCGAAGGAATCAAGTAAATTTAATAAAAAAGAGATATTTATAAATATATACCATATTCGATTAACAATGAGGAGATTCAAATTTTGTGTCAGAACAATGCTATATGCAAATCTAATATGTATCCTAAGTTGCGCTTTCTAGACATGAAAAACGCAAGTTAAATGTTTTCAATAAGTCCAGTCAAATACGAGATATAGAACTCCGATTTGCTTTGTGCAAGGTGTACAATATCAGTTTTGATCTTAACCGAAAGAGATCACGAATGTGTTTTCTACAATATTCATATCCATATCTTGAATGGTGACACTTCTAAACATCTAAGCACGCAGCCATTAAACGTGGATCACGTGGATGGAACACAAAGAGATCTTAGCAATGAATTTATGGCGTGAATTACATGAAATATGTAGATCTAAGCAGCAGTTCGACACAAATTATTTGACAATTATTACATGATTTCGCAGGAAATAATATTTTCAAAACTGTTCTGAACATAGCTTACAATGCTATGACTACAGAGATCTTACAGCGGTAAAAATGAAGAAAGATTACTGGAAAGTATTTCGGATTTATACTTTATGTAGAAAAGTATATTTTTTAGATCTTAAACCAAAGACGACGAAATATTCAACACCAGCACATCTTTACAAACATTTGTTACAAATCTTTACAAACTCTTCCAATCAGTAAGCAGGTGACTAAAAATTAAGAATTCCGCCAAGTGAATTATTCTTGCTGCAAATTGAAAAAATCCCCCAAGATAAATTTTTAAATTTCTCCATTAATTTCTCATAAAAATTACTAAATTTAGTATCTAGGCATAATTGGAGTCGTAGAATCGAAATAAGGAAAAAATTGATATGTTATTTCAGAAAAGTCCGATTTTGTGTCAAAAACCTATGTTAGCATAATGCTATATATAAATCTAATATATATCCTAAGTTGCGCTTTCAATACATGAAAAACGCAATTTAAATTTCGTCAATCGGTCCAATAGATACAGAACTGTTCCATTTTTTTTTAATTTCGCAGTATACAAACCTGTTTCAGTAAATGCAAAGAAAGTTTCAGTAAGATGTTAATGATTGTTGTAGGATTCTCTTACGGTGGGAAATTAAAGAGTGGGTAAAAAGATTAAAATTAACTCAACGTACTTTCAAGACAAAGTTTTTCTTTACGTTACAACAGAAAGAGATTCCATTTCTTTATGCCAGCCACTTTCAAAGAGTGAAACTTTATCAAGACAAAGCAATAAATCATACTTCGAAAAGTACCACTGCATTCCTTGAAAAAATGAAGACTAATATAGGTATTGCATATTTAGCTTTTTCAACTTATAACTGCGAAGATCCCTGACAAAAAGAGCTCATTCTGAGCGCAGACGCACCACAATGGATGGAAATTAATAGAAGAGAAATGGATATAAATATATCTGGAAATTCTATGAAAAGCCCTTCTATCATGGAGATCATGATGCATACTTATCATTTAAAAAAGCTATCAGCCGACCATTAAAAATATTCTTCATATTTTAAACATTAATTAAACGTCCTCCAGATCGTTCTAAAATTGTGTAAACAACCTTTGAAATGCGGCCTTACGTGTTAATCCTATACCTAGGACTGTGCATTTTGCATGAAATGTGAGGTTAGATTATTTGGATACGGAAATGCACATGAACGCTCTTTGCTTAAGAAAAGGGATAACTTCGTGAAGGACTGTCTAAGAAAAACTGGCTCGTATTCATGTTACGTACGCGGAAAAGCCACAAAAGCGAAGCATGCAGTTAGCTCATTCATTTTTGGGTTGCAACCCTCGCCGAAATACTTAGTGGTTTTAGTAGCACTCCGCCACTAATGGGGTTAATAAATTAGGTCCAATAATGCTGCTATCTTGTAAGTTCACAAATTGCCGTGAGTACTGTCAATTAAATGAAAAAGCTCTGAAAAACATTAAAAAAATCCTTCTTTTTCTGTATAATAGAAAGTAAGATTTTTATAATAAAGATCAATATCTTCGAGGGTACTAGCGGCCTCTGTCGGAAAAAAGAGGTAGAGTTAATTGGATTATACGTAATTTCTTCTTTATAACAAATGATACGAAAGTAGAAATCTCTTATTAAAATAACTTCTCTGAACTCAGAAATATTTAATATTTGTTTTAATAAATAACAACAATAATTCTTATCTATAAATGGAAATGTTTGTAACTACCTTGAAATGTAACATTTTTCGAGTCAAATCATCCAAAATATCAACGCACTTTTTCCCCGTAAGAATTTTCTTCTCATTTAATTAATGATATTCCTTACATTATGAGTATTCTGTTTCTCGTTCCGAATCCTATAACTTTAATAAGCTTAAAAGGAAATTCAATTATCATTGTCTAAAGATGAAAAGATCTTGACAATATAATCCGATCAAGAATTTTATTCGAAATAAATATAACTTACTCATTTATTTTGCTCTTCAGTGCTAGTACAAATTCTGAGATTGTTTTAGGGAAAGCATTTAAACCCAAAAAAAAAAAAAAAAAAAAAAAAAAAAAAAAAAATTAAATCATAATTAAAGTTAGCAGTGCGTTTAACTATTAAAATTTAATACGTAACTTAACATTTTTAATTGAATATAATGGAGTATTTTTGTCATAATTAAGATTTTAATTTTAATGAAAGCAATTTTTATGACCTTTGAAACGACTTTAGCGGAATAGTTTCAAAATGTTTGAATTGTTATATTAAGCTACTATAACCATACCTTTCTATCGCTTAGCGCTGCCACTGCGTGAGACATAAGCCCTTTAATTTATCTTCCACTTGTCCTTGAACTTAAACACTTCTCAGTAAGTTGCCTTTAGCAAGACATGTACGAAATAAAGGAAGCATTTTAATTACGAAAAAGTTCGGGTGTCATATTTCAACGGAAATATCCATCTTGACAATTTTTTTTGCGTGACGTCTGTAGGTAAGGACAGAATAAAGGGCTCACTTTTCCAAAACGGATTGTAGAATGGATTGAAAATGGATTTTTCGTAACGTTTGTACGTACGTATGTATGTATCTCGCATAAGAGACAGTTTCGCGAGCTGGAGATACGTTTTATTTCGTAGAGTGTTGCCACTGCTCGCTTTGAAATCTTTGTGTTTGTTAATCAAAAATTCGTTAAAGTTTTACAAAATATGAAGTACTTAATAAAGTAAATTCAAAATTCAAAATTCAGGGTTCCAAGTTTCTATGTTCGGGTGGAGCACTACGTTATTCAAAATTTGATAGCTACGGGTACCGTTGTTTTTCTGCAATGCGAGAAACATGCATAATTATTTAATTTTTTTAATATTATACAGGGCAATAATATTAGGTGGCAACAATCTGAAAAATTAGGCCGTTTTTAGTGATTCAATGCAAAATGCCGTTTCGAAACCAATATCCCATTCGGGAATGACCTCCCTTTTCCGTCGATATGACTGCAGCCTTTTTCTTTCTTTATAGTGCTTAGCATTGCCGGACGTCGGGTCATTGGGCTCGGGCTCGAAACTCGGAGAAGGATTTGGATATTTGTAAGTGTATAATGTCTTTGAAGCCCAGGGGTGTTTAAAATACACTGCGAGCCGAAAGTCTTCTCGAGTGGTATGGTAACGGCGGAGGAAGGTGAGATACCCTCGGACGAATTTATCAAGGGATTCTCCCTCAAAACTGTCTTGGGCAAAATTGTACCGTTACTTTCAAAAAAACCTATAGCCGATGCCAACGACAAACGCAATTCTGCGCTCCCAGGCGCCACAAAAAATCTCGTGGACTTGTTCTGATGTAACTGTTAGACAACTGAAACAAGTCACAGCAACAATAAAGTAAGACATGTCTCAAAAGACAGGGAAAGTAAGGTTATGATTTTCTCTTCGAAGTAATGAAATTGGTTATCACAAAAAAATCTTAGATTACGACGGTGATAAAATAGTACATGTTGTAAACTATTCAGTATCACTTTACGAATAGCTATTAGACAGAATTAACTAAAGACGTAAGAGTTATCAAAAGACGTAAGATATTAGGTTAGTAAATGTTTAAACAAACAAGCAAGCAGAAAGGAACCGAACTAGGCTAATCCAATTTCGGAAAACCATTTGAAAAAAAATCTGATTTCTATTTCTTTATACTAGTATCTATAGATTTATATATTAGTATTAGCATTGGTCATAGCAATCATAATGTTAGGTTTTATTGAACTGCGTCTTGCATTCTGTACGTTTCGGCTTGAAAGTCCTCGATGGACATCAGAGGCGACAAAAGTTCAGCTTATAATTTATAAGGAATTTGAAGTAACACATCATACATACGAGAGATTCAACTTGCTTTAAGCCAAGGAAAGTCAGAAATGCAACGAAAGCAATGTTTGATAATTCTTTTCGGTAAGGAGGAATGAGCACTAAGAATTCTACCTATGTTACGTAATTAACGCGAGGTTTTATCGTGATATTTTCCAATGGTCTAGAGAGAATTTTTGTCACAAAAGAACTCAGAAACGCAGGCATAAGAACTGATTACTTTGCCACGACAAACCACCAGACAGTACCTTTTTAAATGCGTAAATATCGTTTATGACCTGAAGCATAAAACCGATACTTGTTGAATCAGGAATCCGAAATGGTCCTTCAAAGCCAACCATATGCTTCTGGTAAGAAAAACAAGTACTAATGTACTTTTCTCACTTCAAAAAGGTACTGGATTCTGCCTTCAGTCGTCGAGCTGGAAGGTCGCTCTTTTCTAACGTCATCATGGAAAAGCATGATCCTACGCCGAACAGCGAAGCATTACCACCGGATAAAGATTCTTTGGATTGGATATGCCTGTTGGCTGCGAATATACCGTTATGGATAAAGGACTTTCTGCAAATAGCGATGGAATTGACAACGAAAAAATGGCTGATACAATTTCAAAACCAAATTGCTACACTAGAAGCAAGAATAGAAACCCCGCTACCTCAAGCAGCAAATAGATGCTAGCCGCCCCGCTTTCGCCCCAGGCAAGTACACAGCTCTCATGGCGAAAGCAATTAGAGATATAAAAAGTGACAAGGAGCACCTTAAGGGTAAGTGTGATTATTTTATTTCACAATGTGCTAAAACCTCCTCTTCTAACCTTGCTAGTAATTTTAACAACGTCACTTCTAAAAGAAAACAATAAGATATTTCGGACTTCCGATGATAATTTAACTCAGGATGAAGGCCTTACTAAACCTACGCGCGTAGCTAAAATAGGTAAAAAGGACAGAAGCACTACAAATATATCTTATGTTATCACCATAAAAAGATAGCCCATTGGATTCTGAGAATCACAACACTAATTCACAAATCGAGAATAATTCTCACACACATCCACGCACATCTACACAACAAATACTCCCACCACAACAGGGTAAATCAATTCCGTCCATAATGGTCAAACCATTAACAAAATGCACCAAGCAGCTAGCAAACCAAACTTCCACCAAATGTTTAGTGGGGAATTTTGAAAATCTTCTCTAACACACCAGATGGTAGTAGAACATATACTCAATTTCTAAAACGGTAACTCCATCAACACTACTTAACGTCACCAGAGATCTATTAAGGTTGCTATTCGTGGTCTACCAACAGATATGGAAACCTCAGAAATCGCAGAAATTCTTACAGATCAAGGCTACACTGTACGCAGAGTTGTTCAAATGACTAGAAACCGAATCAGACAACCCTGGCCACTAATTCCAAGTCCAACTACTTCCTACTCTCAACATTGACAAAATTTACGATTTTACACATTTTGTCATTATTCATAGTTCAAGTTGAAAAATCTAACATAAAAACCACATGCCATAACTGCCAGAAACGGCACCACTCCTCCGAAAATTGCTTCCTTGCTCCATGATGCGTGAAATGCGCCGGGAAACACAAAACCTCACACTGCCCACAAAAAGGATTAAAAACCCACTACGTGTTAACTGTAATAATAAACACCCAGCGTCTTACCGTGGTTGTATAAAGTTCTTCAAACCATAATCAAATACTCCACAAGCTCCTAGAAAACTGTATTCTGAAATAGTCGCAAACAAAACACACAACCAACGAAAAGACATACAACAAACAGATAACACTAACCAAGATCAACCCACTCAAACAAACACTGCCTCACACAAAAAAAACACTAAATCTCCCACAAATATTCACTCATTAGGACTTTTTTAAAGCCATTAAAGAACTCGAATCTACCTTTGGTATCCAACTTTCAGAACTAATGACCTTATGTAATTGATAAAAACCTCAGTCAAATCAGAACTGCAGAAACTGTAATGGAAAAAATGTACATAATTTACTTGATGTTTGAAGAGCTTAGTAATATTACTAATAATTAACTTCGCCAAACCATGTACTAATAATCCTCTAATCTTTCACTTATTATTTGAAAAAATATACGGTATTTGACGCCGTATAAGACGCATCCCCTTTTTTATACACATTTTTGAAGGATAAACTGTATTACTGATCATTATAATGAATTTACAGTATTTTAAATATAAAGTAATACCATATACAAAGTAATACTAATGCAAATACCCAATAAATCTGGGAAAGAGCATTTTTTAATCTTCTTCTTTAACCAGTCATTTCTTGTGAATTAGCTTTCCTATCCTCCTCATTTTCATTTTCCTGTCAGAATGTAAATTTCTAGCTCTCGGGTGTTCCCATGAGGCAGAAAGAAGATAGTATTTAAAGGAAGTTTTAGACGGTAGAAAGAGGGCGTAGTCTGCCTTCTGAAGGCCGCGGTGCTCATTAAGATTCTCCTGAGAGTAGTATTTTGCTACGTTGCTTAGTTTTCGCCATTAGGCTTGTTAAGCCGACGTTTAGGTCAGAACTAACTTGCGCGTTACTTTAATTATGTAGCCGTTATTCTACCTTACATACTTTACAAGGTACTTCCCTCACCTTCTTAGCGTGCCTTCGTGGTGTAGTGGTCTGCACGCTGGTCGCGAAATCCAGAGGTCCGGGGTTGGATTCCCGGCAATGACGTTGCTGATTTTTCAAGTCTCCTGCTTCCAAAAAATCCTAATAGCTTTACCAGTGGCGCTCGAACTAAAAGGGTGGTGGATGATGATCCTCCACACCCAGGATTTGGCGACTAGGTCCCCTAAAAAAACCCCAGTCGCCCTTTAAAAGGGGGAGCATATAAGGTATTTCTCCCGCCTTTTTAGCGTGCCTTCGTGGTCTGCCCGTTGGGGTGTTGCTCATTTTTCATCAGTCCTGCTTTAATAATAACCTAATGTCTCTACAACTTACTTAGTTAAGTCAATTACCTTCTGTTAACTTTAATGAGTTAAATAAAGGGTCCTTTTTCACTCTTTCCCTGTCTCTGTGGTGCTTACAATATATAGTGGTAATTCACTTTTCAGTCTTTAAGACGTTTCGTACATTTTATGTTTCCAAAGAATACGAAACGTTATAATGTCCAAACACATTGCAAGACGTTTTTTACTCTAAAAGACATGACTTTCAACAGTGTGGATAAATTACACGATGAGGGGAAAAATGTGATATGTAATGCAAGCAATAAAATGAAATGATAAGATAATCCACATTTGTGTGGTTTGCTTTGCTTTTAGTGGACTAAAAAGGAGGCAGATATTTTTTACACGCTTCAGTAAACTTGGAGTCAGTGTATGGATTCCGTAAAAACCCTTAAGGTCGAATCGCAAAAAGATATTAGATCAAAAGACCTACAAGGAGAATTCTAAACACGTTCCAAATATAGAAAACTATTCCGAAATAAATAAGAGTTTTGCTTTCAAGGAAATAGAGACAAGATTTAATTCAAGGACACTTTCAAGAACTGTTTGGCGTTTTCCCGTCTTTTTTTAATCAACGCGGTAATATTTACAATAAAGCTAAAATAACGAAATAAACATACAAATAAATAAAAGAAGTTTTTAAGTATGCACTATAATTCGAAAGTTCCTTGGGAAAAATATAAAAGCAAGCGGAAAGGAAATGTGCGGAAATCCCGCGTTCAGGTGGTGATAAACGCTGCTGAGCGGTAGGTAAAAGCGTTCTGGTGGCTTAAATTGTCAATTTCCGTGCGAATTTTAAGCGTATGCATCGCTACCCAAAAGCGGAAATCGTTCATGTTCATTTTATTCTTGGAGCTCGGCTGAAACTGAACGGGTACTGTGTTTCCGCCCGCAGTTCCGTAGGTGAAATGCATACCAGCGAGCTCAGCTTAGGTGTAGTGACACATACCGCCTAAAACCACACGGGAAATAACGACTTACGTTAACGGAAGACTTTCAATTACCATTTACCTGCGCCTTGCATCATCTCAAAGCACCATTTGTGCAAACGTATCCCAATACAAAATCTGCTAATTTTAGTTTTTTCTACTTCGCTCTACATTTTTGACAGATATTTCTTAGTTGGCCTACACGTACGATATACATAAAAAACTTACCTTGCTGGATTTCAGTTACCTTGATTTTTTAAAAATGGTTTGTCTTGTAGGCAATCACAAAAAAGTTTGTCAAAGAGTATGAATGTGAGAATATACATTTTCTAGCATTAATAAATTTTTAATGCCAAGTGTTAGTCATCTGTCCAGTGTCACTACGAAGGTCACAAAAATCTATCAGTCATTTTATATTTACCTCTTCTGCTTATAATATAAGCGCTACAGGCCCAAAACTCGATCATCTACATCAGTGGTTCTTAACCTGTTTTGTCCCATGCACCTCTTTGAACACTGCTGGATCATCATCCCCCTCCTTCCACAAACTCAAAAAATACATATATACATTTATTTAAATTTAGATTATTTTAAAACTTATTTTACAAATTAAACAACAAAAAGTATATTTGTTGTTTAATTTATATTTTTTAACATTCATAAACTAAAACGAAGTTCTTAAAAACTGACAATACATATATACACAAGATTATACTATAATACTGTCCATCTTTTAATAATTGCATTATAAAAAAATAAAATCTGAAAGGTTTCAGATTTTAAATTACGTCCAAAGGGGTGTTTTTTTTAACATTGGTGTGTTACCTGTATTTATTAAATATAACGTTCTTCGCCATTTCAACCATTTAAAATTCAGTTCAAGAGCAATATCGCAAATAATTTTAAATGAGCGATCTCTAGAATCCGATTACACATCTCAAGGGCGGGATATAAAATAAAAAGTTTTTTCTGATACGATGCTGCCTGGCTTCGCTTGAAATCCTTCAGGGTACTCAAAAATTTCGTTAAAGTTTACAACTATGATAAATCGATAATAAAACAAATTCTAAATTTCAAATTTGTGCTTCCAAGATGCCCATATTTGCAGGAGGATTACGTTACTCAAAATTCGATAGCTCTAGGTACCGTTGTTTTATCGCAATGCGAGAAACATCTATAAATTTATGCAGATTCTTCATTATTTAATATCTTTAAATAGAATACAGGGCAATCATATTTGGTGGCAACAGTTTGAAAAGTGAAACAGACATTCAGAATGATTCGATGCAAAATCACAAAACGAAAACAATAGTCCCTCAGGGACAAAGCCCTTTTGAACTAATAATACCTATGTACATATAACGCAGTTAAACAGTTTCATATGATAGCATAGTCACGAAGATATAAGAAAGCAGTACA